AAGCAGAAACTAGGAAAACAATACAAAGAATCAATGTAACAAAGAGTTGGTTCTTTGAGAAAATCAAGATAGACAAACCTTTATCCAAACTCACCAAACGGCAGAGTATGAACATACAAATTAACAAAATCAGAAATGAAAAGGGGGACATCACAATGGACATGGAGGAAATCCAGAGAATCATCAGGTCATACTTTGAAAACCTGTACTCCACAAAATTCAAAAATTTAAAGGAAATGGATGACTTCCTGGATAGATACCACCTGCCAAAATTAAATCAAGAACATATAAGCAATTTAAACAGACCTATAACACCTAAGGAAATAGAAGCAGTCATCAAATGTCTCCAACCAAAAAAAAGCCCAGGGCCAGATGGCTCCAGTGAAGAATTTTACCAGAAATTCAAAGAACAGCTTATACCAATTCTCCTCAAAGTATTCCATGAAACAGAAGCAGAAGGGTCTTTGCCAAACTCTTTTTATGAGGTTTCAATAACATTGATACCCAAGCCACACAAAGATACATCTAAGAAAGAGAACTTCAGACCAATTAGCTTTCTGCTTTCTCTTCAATTTCCCCTGCTAAGATGGAAACTTTTTTCTTTACTCATCTCTTGCTCTGAGGAATTTTAAATGCTGATATGGGAACTGTAGTTAAAAATTAATAAGACAACTATGTTACCCCTTGACTGAAATGGTCCCCTGGCAGCAAATAAAAATTTTAAAACCATGCATCTCATCGCCCGTAAGGAAAGAAAGCTCAAATTTTCCAAATATGCTGAAAGAAACATTAGTAAATTCTGTCTCTTGGTCAATGTATTCTAGCACTTGGACATACAGCATTGTATATTGAGATGTTGATGCACTGGCATTCCATCTCTATAGGTTATTTTCTCCAACCTGGTACCTCATTTGTGTCTTTGCAAGGTCATCCATCTCTCCACTAAATAGATGATAGCCAGTGAGAACAATGATTATATGTCTACTTTCGCATCTCACTTTAAGAAAATTTTTAGTTTGAAGTTATGTATTACCAACCCTGTCTAGTAGCTCTGATACTCTTTAAAGTATCAAATAGTACTTCTCTGTAGAAGACAAACCTACACCCAGAACATATACTGATTCCAATATGAAAAGTTCAATATAATACAGACAACTCAGAAATGGTGTCTGTGCTAGGTTATGGGCATTATAACAATAGAATTAATGATCTGGATGCTGCGGAGGGAAAGAGTTCATGCTATTAGAAACATGTCTACCCTCCATCACTACCACCATAGCTGTTTCTCTTGCATCAGCACCGAGAGGGACAATAACACAGATCAGCTGACGTCCTCTAATTCATTCTGTCTAGTTGGTTAGACATTCATATTACCTCTTCCATGATGGATGCTGATAAAGAAAGGTGACAGGAAATACAAATATCTGCAATTTTTGTCCATTCCTACATGATGATCTATGTGATTATACCCAGACATTTTTATCCAGAACCTTCCACTAATTATCCTTAGAGGTGCTTGGTCAACTATATAAACCAACCATTTTTCTGAAGTCAAAGATTTTATAAGTATTTTCACTTCAAGCTATATCTTTACACACACCGAGAGAGACAGAAACGGTGAGACAGATATCACCCACAGCTACACCTATTGGGACAGTTTCCTCACACTTTTCAGAATGTTTTCCAAGAAGCTCTCATATATCCAAGTCTGTATTTGAGTTGTATCTGCATCTCAAGCCAATTAATCGATGAATGAAGCTACAGATTTTTCCACCTCTATTAGCTACCTATAAGGACTGCATGTGTCTTCAGTCCTATATATGGGCTAAGAGAAAAAAACACCAAAACAGTAATTGTGGATGGCATGGACTTAATCAATGCACGACTTTTATTTATAATTCATTATTTTTGGCCTCACCAAACTTGACATTGGAAGTGTGACTCAATTTAGTTCATAACAGACAATTCTGGTCACAGCATCATTAGTATCCCATAATCATAGCCCAGTAGCACCCAAAGTGTTTAGTAAATGATATATTATCCTCCATTACAGACAGTAGATTCCAGGGATCTACACTATGATTCTATTTAAGGGGTATTGTGAACTGAAGTTTGTGTGTCTTTAAAATTCATAGGTTGAAGCCCTATCTTACAATGTGGCTATTTTTGGAGATGGAGTTTAAAGGTAATTGTGTTATGCTTGATGGGATTTGCAGATAGTCCATTCTAACCCTGATATTGGAAAAAGGATATTCTCTTTGTCTCACCAAGAAGCATACAAACCAAGTTACCCAGAAAGGCTTTTTTCTTTTTTTCAAAAGGTTGCACCATGACTCAAACCATGCCAGTAAGTACATGGAACAGGAGATCCCAGGCAGGTTGTCCTAACAGCAAGAATACTCTAGTTTATCCCCATTGGCTGGGATCCGGCCTCAGAGTTTTTCATGGATGGCAAGTTTTAAAAGAATTGGCACAAAAGAAATGCAGATACAGGGGAAGGGTCAGTGGCTTGAGGACATTAAGTTCTGAGAATGCAGCAAGGTCTTTGAGTAGACAAAAGTTTTACCAGGTGAGAGAATAATGTGATATGCCCTGTATGCGGTGAATATGTGTTGCCTTTATTGGCTGATGAATAAAGATGTTTTGGCCTACGGCAGGGAAGAATATAGCTAGGCAGAAATCCAAGCAGAGACACAGGGAGAAAGAAGGTGAAGCCAAGAGAAGATGCTAGTAGTTACCGAGGAAGCAAGACATGTAGAAAATAAGGTAATGCCACAGCCATGTGACAATCCATAGATTAATAGAAGTGAATTAGCTTAAACATAATAACTAGCTGTAGACGGGCAGTGGTGGCGCACGCCTTTAATCCCGGCACTCGGGAGGCAGAGGCAGGCAGATCTCTGTGAGTTCAAGACCAGCCTGGTCTACAAGTGCTAGACCAGGACAGGCTCCAAAGCCACAGAGAAACCCTGTCTTGAAAAACCAAAAAATAAAATTAAATTAAATTAAAAAAAGAGCTAGCTATAATAAGCCTGAACCATTGGCCAAACAATCATAGTTAATATTAAGCCTCAGAATGATTATCTTATAAGCTGCTGCAGGATAGGGCAGGACAACAGAAAAGTCTCTATCTACAAGAGAGAAGAAAAGATGCACATAAAAGTTTTCCAGATTGTGGTGTGTGAAAATATTTGAATTCCTTTGCATGAAAGTTTTACAGGATGGGGAAATTTATGTATGATTATCCTTTGGTGAGCTGTCCACCTTTATCAGAAAAAGGGGGGAAACTGGAGTTCTTTAAACCTTCAGGACCTACATGTTTGAATATGCTAAGCTAGACTGGTAAATGGGATGGAGAAATCGAATGCCTATATCCTTTAAGGTTCAGGATGACACTAAAATCTGCCAATGTCTTCAGGATTTTGTATTGCTTAGATTCACTCTCATCTTCGGAGCCTTTAAATTGACCTTCTTCACCGTGGTATTATCCCATAGGCCAAAGAACCAATGTGGTGGTTGTGCCAACTCAGGCTATGTCCATCCAAGTTATATACCTAGGATGCCAGAAAGATATCACGTTGCTAGCTGGTCTTGAGTCAGAAGGTCATTCATTATGGACTTCTATGCACCAACGTCCTCCCTGACTCCCCCTCTCCCAAATAGGGAGCTTTGGCTTTCAAGGTATCAAGCTCAACTTGAACTCTTGGACTCTAAACATTAAAACGTGTGGGTATTCCAGCTGCTCACGTACACAGCTGCATGAGAAAATGACCCTTAGTCCTTAGGGGAAGAACCATCCTCTCCCATGGTATTGTGAGCCCTTATTTCCGGGGCCTCAACCTCTTCTTTCCATACTGTAAGTTCTAGCTCTGCAGCTGGAGAACTTAGTTCCTTTCTTTCCTTAGTGAGCTCACATTCATCTCAGCCAGGCATGTGACTTGACCTAGCGCACTAATAGCAAGGAGATGAAAGCAGATCTTAGGGTGTGGGGAGAATGACCAAGTGAGGGTCAAGGCAAAGGTTCCTACTTTGCCTGCAGGTGGACGACTGCTCCTCTCCGGCAGGAAAAAACTGTCTTTCCACAAGCCCAGGAGCTGAGGGTTAAGAGGATTTCATCCACAGGTTTCCAGCTCAAATTTTAGAGTTTTATTCTTTACCCAATCTAGACTTATTCTTTTCCTAAGCTGGCATTGTAAATTCACCAGGACTCAAAATGTAACTGTGTGTGTGTGTGTGTGTGTGTGTGTGTGTGTGTGTGTGTGTGTTATGGTGCTCGTAAAATTCTATCTGGGATGTGGTTTTTCAGCACTTTCGCCTTCAAGCTGTAGGAGATAACAGGCTCTGTAATTGCTGCTGAGAAGGCCTGCCAAATCTCAACATTTAAGATCTTTCCGCTTTCTCCTATTTCAATCATGAACAAGGTCAGGGATGTCTATATTTGTGTCACAATGAAGGCAAAATATAACATCTAGCATAGATAAATACAGGTTCAAAAATTTTTAACTGGATTATTTTTTATTATTTTAATTTTAAATAGCTTGTTTTACATGTCAATCCCAGTTCCCTTTCCCTCCCCTCCTCCTGCACCCCCCATCCCCCCATCCTCCCACCCTATTGCCAATTCCTTCCACATAGGGGATATCTAGAGTCTGTCATTTCACTCAGGGTAGTGTCCAGGCACTCCCCTAAGAGTCCAGGCTGAGAGAGAATCCCTCTTTGTGTTATGGACACACGATGCCTGTTAGTATTCGAGGGATAAACACTGATCCACTGCTCAGGACCCCATAGGTTGCCCAGGCCTCCTCATTGACTCTCACATTCAGGGGGTCTGGATCAGTCCCATGCTGGCTTCCGAGCTGTCGGTCTGGGATCCAAGAACTCTCCCCCTGTTCAGATCAGCTGTCTCTGCTGGTTTTGCCAGCCCATTCTTTGCCAATTTTCTCATCGCTCCTCTCTCTCTGTCTCTGGGTTCCTTGGGTTCAGTTCAGTGTTTAACTGTGGGTGTTTGCCTCTGCTTCCATCAGTCACTGGATGAAGGCTACAGGATGGTTATAGACATCAAGTTCATTATCAGGAATGGGCATTCGAGGTGGTCTCTACACTATTGCTTAGCTTGCCAATTGGTGTCATCCCTTTAGATCACTAGAGGTCACAATGGTGCCTGATCTGTCTTCTAACCTATGATTCTCTCTTCCCCCTATCCTACCCCCCCCCACTCAACCTTCCTGTTCCCGGTATGTACTCACTCATATATGGATTTTAGACAAGGATCAGGAGAGTGCCAGTCTGCACTTCCACTGACAGAGACTGGGAAACAGGAAAGAACCTAAAAGATATGCATGGTACCCAAGAGAAGAGAAATGAGGCAAGATCCTCTGAACAGATGGTGAACAAGGAGAGGGGGGGGGAGGGGGAGCTGGGAAATAGAGAGGGGAAGAAGAGGAAGAGATAGTAGGTTCAAAATTTTTAATTGCATAAATATAGACTAGAGGAAACCTGATATGACAACATTTCATGCAGAAAATATCCTGGAAGGTTAGTTGCTTCCAAGGTTAATATTTGTCATATAAGGCAACTACCAAAATAGAGAACGCAGTCTTTGTCTCTGTTGGTACAAATACAGTTTCACTGGCAGAAGTTGTAGTTCTCCATAGATCCCACAATGAACAACCATATCTGGAGAGATAGTCAGTTATGGGCCTCACATTCTAAAAGGCACAAATTTAAAACAAGACTGAGTCCTGAAAATAGCAATCAGAAATCTGAAAATAATGTCTTCTGGAGAAACCTGAGGGATAAGGGTAGTGAGTCCAGAAAGAATAGGGCTTCATGGGAAAGAAGGAAGTGGATTAATGACATTGAATCAGAGTGTACACAAAAAGCTCTAGAGTGTGGGGGCTGAAATGACAGGGAGTGGGCTTCAACTGGAGACAGTGAAAACCTAGGCAGAGCTGACACAAGTAGAGCCAGGAATGACATGCGCTTGAAAACATAGAGGCCAAGGTAGGCACCACACTTACCAGGTAACACCTTACTAAGTGTCCCTATACACATACTTTAAGTCTCATTTTTCTAAGGTTAGTAGTTAAAAACTAAGACCATCTGAGGCTAGGAAAGGAGTAAACCTTCAAAAAGAATATGCCTTTACCCCCCTGATATGGACATCTATATTACACACAAAACTCTGCTCAGACAGCGATAGGAAAGTGGTCCTGTGTCCAAGATTTTACCTTGCCCCAAAGCAGCAGCTTAGAGACATAGCATCTGAATGAAGAAGTGCCCTGTGCCTCATTAACAAACAGTATACACCTCAGCACTTTTAGTCTCTTACCTAGATATGTGAATGTGTCCTCCTCTTCAAGAACCTCCAGTAAGGTGACTCATCTGCGTGAATTTAGATAAACTGCCAACTTGTTGGAGCCAGTTTCAACAGCTGAAAGTAAATACAGCAGTTGGGGACTAAATAGTTCCTCAATTCCTTTCAACCCAAACATTCATATATCCCAAAGGAAAGAGGCATTGTTTTTATTTTAAAATGTTCTAAAAGACACTACTTATTCAACTGAACCAACCTTGTTTTTTTGGGGGAGATGATTGAATATTGTCAAATTTTATGACAAAGTAAAAACAGTTAAAGAAAGCAAAAGTTAAGTCCTAGAAAGATAATTAGAGATGTTTCCTTGGTGGGGTTGGGTTTTTGTTTGTTTTTAGTTTTTTCTATTATTTCAACTGCTCAATATTGGGTACGGGGAGAGGTTAATTTCTGCTACTCCATTTAAAGGGATAGCCAAGATAGTGCAAATGCCTTTAACCCCAGAACCTTGGAGGGAGAGGCAGGAATATCTCAGTGAGTTCAAAGTCATTGTGGTCTGCAAAGCATCAAGTTCCAGGACAACCAGGATTGTTATACAGAGAAACCCTGTCTCAAAAAAATAAAATAAAATAAAAAATAAAGGGATAGTCAATTAGAAACAGTGTTTACTAAAAAACAACAAAATATTGAAGATTTGCCTTTTAGTTTTGCATAAAATCATTGTAGAACACTATTAAAATGGGGAAGGAATTTGAAAGCATTTTGGGGGCATGGGTATTATATATGAGCCATCAAAGTTTACCATATGTATTAAAAAGAAAGTTCAGTAAAATTATCTATAGTATATAGCATAACAAATGGTGTTGTTAAAATATAACCAAAATAGTACTAGCTAATTTTTGTTGGAATTCTGTAAAAAGAAAATCCGTAAGGGTGTTTATGTGTCATCCATAAACAGCAGGATATTATAGTTTAGCATTCTGAGGCACCTATGACCTTTACTTTGGTAATATTTCAGTTTCCTATTGTGGTAATAAAACACTCTGGAAAAGCAACTCGATAGAGAGAGGATTTATTCTGGTTCACAGTTCAAGGGTACAGTCTATCGTGGGGAACGGGGGGCAGGGTAAAGTCTGCAGAAACTTTAAGCCACTGGTCACATGGTATTGACACTCACAGCTGCCAGTTTCCTTTATCCATGTATATAGTACAGGATCACAGCCAGGGAGTGATGCTGCCCAAAATAGTTCCCATCCCAATCAGCACAGTCAAGGTAATCTCATACAGGCATGCCCAAGTTGACAATTACTATTAACCATTAAAGGCATGTCTGTCTTGAATATTTGCCTAAAGCCTAACACAGACCTGAAATGTTTCTTTATATACAACATCCTTTAGATCCTACTTCTCTGGAAGAATGCCATCCTTTAGTGACACCTATTTTTCAATAATTCAACAAATCAGCTAGCTATCTAAAACTCTAGCCACAGATTGCAACAAATAGATTGTGAGATGATTAACACCACCTTATTCTGCATGAGTAAAAGTGTAACTGAAGAGGGAATAAAACAAAACTCAGGGAAGAACATGTGCACATTATCTAGAGGCTGGATGGGAGTGAAGAAGCTGAAAGAAAGTCTAAGGGAGAAATGCCCCGGGTGATGTCCCAGCAGAGGGTTGCCACGATGGGAGGAAGGGCACCGAACAGCATCTGTGCCTCTAGGCTAACGAGGAGACTCTGGGCTTGGAGGATACAGCTTAAGAGCCTCAATGGTGGGATGTGTACCCAAATTTCAATGAAGATTTAGCTAACGATTGTGGGGTGTTTTACTATTTGATAAGTACTTTCACATTTATATAGAATTTGAGTCACCTTCATCCTGAGATGACTTTCTGTTTTTAATGTGAAATATCCCAACAAGTTCAGGTACGGAGACTTGGCTGGGTCTTAAGGGTCCCTACTTAATGGATTAATTCCCTACTGTATTCATAATGTAGGGGGTGAAAAATAAGATATGGGCTCAAGTTGGAGATACAGGTCACTGAGGTCATGCCATTGAAAGATGTACCTTCTCCCTGGCCTCTCTCATTTCTTTTTCAGTTGTGTGACAAAATGAGCAATTCTGCTCCATCACACCCTCCCTTCTACATGGGGCAACTGACCACAAACTGAAATTTTCCAACCTGAAACAAAATAAACCACTTCTCCTTTAGAACGGTTAGTCTAGAGTAGTTGTCCCAGCTCACGGAGGTAGATGGCTGTATTATCTTCATTGTAATATGGACATCAAGAGCGAGGTGAAGCCATTTCCATGGTTCTTACCAGGCCTCCCACATTGTACACTATCTATCCATCATAGTACAACCCAACCATCATTTTTGTTTGTTTTAGTAACACTGTAGAAGTTGGAAAGTACATCACTAGAGTTAAGTAGCACTAGAAGGCACCACATTTTATACAAGTCAAAGCATTTTCACACATGGCAATATATTTATTGATTGTTTCAGTTAGGGATACCAGGCATTATCACCTCCATTTCAGTAAGGAAATTATGGCAAAGACTGAGCAAAAATTGCCCAGGAAATGTCTACCACTCTAGGCACCTTTCTCAGCACATACATTATCACCAAGTTTGTCTCTGCACAAGGCCATAGTGAATGAGACAAACGAAAACTGAAGAAGGGAAAACACACATGGAAAGAGGAGAAGCTTTCAGAATCCCAGTTCCATTGAACACGGCCATAAGAACACCACCCACTGAAATAATGCTTGGTAGAGAGAAAAGCAAGGTCTCTAGTAGAATTACCACAGGGCTCTTCTACGGTCACACCACACTCTGTGACATCTGTACTACCCTGACTTATTTTAAAGAGAAAACACATGAAGAATATACTGCAACATCTGGGCTTGCTTAGGAGGCTGAGGCAGGAGGATTACACATTAGAGGCTAGCTTAGACTATGGAGCTGAGTTTAAACAGCGTGGAAAATTTAGTGAGACCCTGTCTCAAAATAAAACTAATACAAAGAGCTGAGACTATACTTAGACCGTTTGTCCTTGCCTATGCAGTACAGAGGGGAAAAAAACCACCTTTATAGATTAGCAGTATCCCTAATCTTGTAGAGCTACCAAAATCACTATGTCTAGTTTTTTGAAGCTTCACAAAGGGGGAAGCAACAGAAATGCTTTTCCCAATGATACTCGCCTATGTATGTGGTATATCTTAATTTTGCAAAGTAGTGGATTACTATACCCAGATGAACTGAACCATTTGAATAATATTTTTTTGATCATAGGTAATATGTTTTTATTAAGCAGTCTTCCTGCCCTAGTCCATAACTATGTAAAAGGTTATTAGTAATGCTAATATTTTGCTATACTCTTCTGCTCACACAATGTTGCCATGAGCTTAGTGATTTTTAAAGTTGTAAAAATTCTGGATAGATTCTCCCAGCAACATCTGATAGGCTTTCCTTCACATTACACTCTGACATCTCCTATTATTCCCAAGCTACTAAGGGATGCCACCTACAAGCTTCACAATAACCCAAGGGTGAAGTCACAAATCCTTTAGAAGATAAAGTAGCCAAAGAATGCCACAAATAGAATTATAGTGATGAGAATCTACAGAAGTGTAAGGGTCTTTGGATTCCCTGTGCATCCTACCTTTATCTGAACATCAGAATCCCCTAGAGTTTCCAAAACCCTAGATGTCCAGACTTCACACCAGACTGACCATATCACAATCTCTGGAAAATGATGGAGGTATTAGCAACAGTTTTTTAGGCTTCCAGGTGGTTCCTATTTGCAGTCAACCTTGAGAAGCACTAGAATAGACCCATCAAAAAGCCAAATCACTAAAACAGAATGTTGCTTTTTTTAGATTAAGAAAATAAATATGGAAGAAAAATGATAACATGGACTTTGAGAGTTAAACCCTATCCATCTGCATGACTAGATCAAAGTCTTCACATCTAAGTCTCTCTGGTACTTCAGAAGGCTGCCAGGAAGTATAACTCAAAGAGAGAAGAGAGAGTGTGTGAAGACACCACTCCACTACCTGGCACATGAAAGAGGTGAGTAGCCTCCTTCCCACTCCCATGTTTCATGTTTTAGGTAAGGACAGAGAATAAAGCATTCACAGGGCACACTTGTTGCCAAAGAAATTTTAGACACATACCAACCAATAATTAACTGAACTATAAACATAAAATGTCTCCAATTCAGTAAGGAGTCCCTCTTAAAACTTGGTTTATTAAAGAAACAAGGACCAGCTCTTGTCAGGTGGTTAAGCCAAGAAACTGACGATAATCGTCACTCATGATGAGACTGTGAAGAAAGAAACAAGGCTCAGAATAGTAAAACAAGGGATTTTGAAGAACAATTTGGCAGTATCTCTCAAAATTGTAAGCGCACATACTCCTTCTTCCAGGTAATCTTTTCCAGGGTGTCTATCTTGGAGAAAGACCCAAGGAGATACTGTTCTGTGGGCTTTAAATACATGGTGCTGGTATATCGCCCATAACATTACTCCGTTGTAAGAATTAACCATTATATACTTACTTATTCATTATATAGATGGTGCTTTGGTGCTTCCAAGTAGGAATACTGGAAGCAGTGAGACTATGAACAGTCACCCTGGTATTTTCAAAGCACAAGTGAGGGTTGCTTCCCCTGTAAATCTCGCTGCCATCACACTAACGCTCTCATTCAAAAGATTCATTAATGGACTCCTCTGGAATGCTTAATTACATCTTCCTTTTCTATTCTGACCTGATCAAGATACCCTGGGAAGGGAACCCACAAAAGAGACAAGCACTCTTCTAAAGGACAGTACTAGGAAACAGGCCTTTGCTGACACAATAATGTTAGTTACTGGTGGAGTGTCAGATGCTGGCCTCCTCAGAACTGCCTGACTCTCTCTGACTCCAGGCTGTCACTTGTTCCCTACCCACCTTTGGTGGGAGTTTAAAGACAATGTTCTCTGAAAGATAAATTCCTGAAGTGTTTAATTCCTATGAGAGAGAGAGAGAGAGAGAGAGAGAGAGAGAGAGAGAGAGAGAGAGAGAGAGAGAGAGAGAGAGAGAGAGAGAGAGAAGTTCCCACAGGTACCTACTTTT